ATATATATATATATATATATATATATATATATATATATATATATATATATATATATATATATATATATATATATAAAGAGAGTCTACAAATCTAGGAAAAATACTTCGATAAATATTAACAAGAATTAATGAATCGCATTAATACATAGAAAGAAAATTCTTCATTAGAAAGGCAGAAGAACTTGAGCTTCATATTCCTGTGAAAAATGTATGTAATTGTTGATGCAACAACAAAAAGATATTGGCAGATTTACTTGAATTAGAGAAGTTGACATGATATTTGAATTGTTATCCTTTACAATTTTCATTAACTTGATAGGGCTTCTGAAAACTAAGATATCCCCAACAATAATATATATTTGATAGAAAAAAAAATATTATGATAAACTCATGGTTGAAAATATCATACGTTGTCTTCACCTTAAACACTTTTTTTTCACAAAAAAAGGGTAAGGATCAAAGTTATAGACAAAACAAAACTATTAAAATATTATATACTTATATGAGTAGATAACACTAATCACCCATTTAGTATAATGAAATTTACGCCAATATTCTATATTCTTTTGTCATGTTATTTAAAACTCTACGTATCTTAGCATATAGATAGAAAAATCAAAGGAGTTTATGCTATTATTCAAAACATTAAGAGTTTATATAAACGAGGACCAAGATGTTTAAGATTATTGACAAAACTTAAATGTTTTTGTTGATACAATATTGTAATAAATTAGGTATACTATACATAAATCGTGTGCATTTTGCATAATTTTATGTACATAATGACTTTGAGATGTTCCTAAAACAACATTTGATTTGAACTCGACTTCATGCAATTGGTTTAATTTGGGTTAAACTAGGCCAGTTCTAGGGTTATTAAGCAAAGAGTGAACAAAATTGGAAAATGGAAGTAAATTGGGTGCAAAAAGAGTTAAAAATCAGAAAATTGAAAAAATAAATCGTTTGATTAAGGTTAGGATTAGTAATTCACCCAAACTTAAGCAAATTTTGACTAAATAACATTTAAATTATAAAGCAGTAATTGAATAAGAAAAGAAGAGAGAGAGAGAGAGAGAGAATGCAAACCTCTAAAGCTTTGAATGGTTGTGAAGAGATAACTAATTGCAAATGGTGATGAGAACAAACTAGATTTGGAAGAAGAAGAAAGATGTTTGAAGCTTGAAAGTGAAACAAATTAATGAATTAGGAATTGAATTGAAGAATAATAGAGAAAAAGATGAGAGAAAGAAGGAAAAAAAGAACTCACATACAATTTGTTGAAAATATCGACTTAGAAGATTCTGGGATAAAATTCTAAAATCTCAACTCATTTTTTCTCTTAGAACTTGGTTCACTCTAAAAACATAAAACTATGTTAATTTGGCAAACTATACAATAGTCTTAGGTTTATAAAGGTAAACTCGACTTCACATTATTAAGTTGTTTATTTTTTTATCTGACTTAATTTATTCATAAAATTTATTAGAATAAGTTGACTTTTGTAGGGTTTGAGGTTTTTTTTTTCTGGATTTGTGGTGTTATACATGTGTTGTACTTTTAAAATGACGTACTAATTTTGATATTTTAAAATATATCAAAAATCATTTTTAATATATCAAAATTAATATGTTTTTGAAGACACAAAAAGAAAACATTAAAATTCAAGTGGAAAATTTTATTTTATTTTCATATCAATAAGGCATGTTTAATTCCTTTTTGAAAAATATCTTATAATCAAATGCTTTAAAAAGAATTTTATTTGGGGATATTTAATATATTCAATTAGATATTATTATGTTTTTTCAAATTATTAGATTATTTACTATTTTTATTTAATAAATACTTATAATAAATATTTATTCCATAAAAATATTAATTAATGTAACAATTCACTTTTTAAAATAATTAATAATTTTAAAAAGTATTAATTAAAATGTTTATTATTATATTATTCATATAGATGGTTTTAAGAAACTGTTAATTCATTTAATATTTTTAACATAATAACTACAAGCAATAAATATTTTTTATGCATATAATAAATGCAAGTCATGAATGCAATATTAATTGAAGGGTTCTATTTAATAAATATAATAAATGAAATTTAAGATTTTCACATAACAAAATAAGAGTGTGATAAATAAAAGCAATAAGTATTTTATTTTGTATTTTTTTTTATAAAATGTATGTAATAAATTAATAGTGGTAGGGTTATATTTAACAGATGTAGTAAATATAATTTTAACTTTATTGGTTATATGTTAACACATAATTCGTTTAAAGTCAATTTATGTGTTTTTTTAATCGTCAACAACTATCAATAACATTAAAGAATTAAATATTAGAGATGTCTTAATCCATATATACATAATGTTAGAAGAAAAATATTTAATCTTTGACCTCCATTTCTAAACTCTAATAATACAAAAATAAACTGTGCCCACATTACAAAATTTTGTATTGTAATAATTTCTTCAAACCTAAAATATTACAAAATATTATTGGAAAATACATTGTTCCTCTTTAGTCTTCAGATCACACGGAAAAAAATTGTCAGATATCATTTCCTTAAATTTTTTAAAAAGATGATATTTTTCTTTGCAAAAGCCTAGATAACTTAACATTATAACAAGAGAAATGAGAGGTTCTAGCAGCGGGAGTTTAAAAAGGAAAGATAGAAAAAACAATATGACATAACAAACCATTGTTTTTACCTCCGTATATAAAATAAAAAAGGTTTTAACTTAATATATACATAAAATATATATATATATATATATATATATTTAATTCTTAAAAAATTTTGTCCTTTACTTTAAATTTTGTTACAATTTGATCTCAAATTTTAAAAATAAATAAATGTAATATTCATCACTTAACAACATTCAAACTTTTTCACATCATAAACAACGTTTTATACTACATATTTTACTTGCATTGGAATTTTGTTTACGTAGCTTACAATTGGTGGATATGGAACAAAGAAATTCTCACACAATTTAGAAAAAAAGAGAAAGAACAATTGGTGGTATCGGTAATGCGGCATGGTGAGCGTTGGGGGCCGGACGTCTATAATATTATAGACGTCGGTGCCCCTCTAACGGACGTTTAAAACCCCCCGCGAATATCAATATTTAAAACCAAAACACGTCATATTAGTTACTGCTCCGACGTCTATAACATTATAGACGTCGGGGCCTTCCAGTAACGAACGTCTAGTGGCATTTATACTTTGCGCATTGCATTTCCAGGTTGGTTTTTTTCTGTTTTAGACCATTTAAATTTACTTTTAATCCGATTAAATTGTTCTGTGATGAAATATCTTCCATTTGGACCGATTAAAAATCATTTTCGGTGCGTTTTTGTACAGTTTCTTGCGTGTTCTTGGGCGGCGTTTTTTACTGTTTTTGGCCTACGTTGTAGGTCGTGCACTCCTCCATAATAGACATCTATAAGTGAAATATATATATATATATATATATATTTAATTCTTAAAAAATTTTGTCCTTTACTTTAAATTTTGTTACAATTTGATCTCAAATTTTAAAAATAAATAAATGTAATATTCATCACTTAACAACATTCAAACTTTTTCACATCATAAACAACGTTTTATACTACATATTTTACTTGCATTGGAATTTTGTTTACGTAGCTTACAATTGGTGGATATGGAACAAAGAAATTCTCACACAATTTAGAAAAAAAGAGAAA